CTTTTTAGTTTGATATAATATTTATTTCACTATTTTTGCCCTTTCCTGAGGATGTTGGTCCCAAAAAAATATTTCTTAGACTGATATCAAAGAGTTTACTGCCTATTTTTAATTTTAGCAGTTTTATATTTTCAGTTCTTACATTAAAGGTTTTGATTCATTTTTAGTTTATTGTTATATATGGTATAAGATAGTGGTCCAGTTTCATTCTTTTGCATGGAGCTCTCCAGTTTTCCTAAACCATTTATTGAAGAGACTCTCTTTTCCCCATTGTATTTTCTTGTCTCCTCAGTGATTGAAAAATTGAGCATGTATTTGTGGGTTTATTTCTGGGCTTTCTATAGTGTTCCATTGATCTATATGTTTTTATGCCAGTACCATACTTTATTAATAACTACAGTACTGGCACTAGCTTTGTAGTACAGTCTGAAATCAGGGAGCACGGTACCCCTAGCTTTATTCTTTCTCAAGATTACTTGAGATATTCAGGATATTTTATGGCTCCACACCAACTTTAGGATTCTAGTTCTAAGTGTATAAAATCTGTTATATTTGATGGGCTTTGAATTTAATCAGTACATTACTTTGGGTAGCATGGACATTTAACAATATTGATTCTTCCAATCCATGAGTATAGTATTTTTCTACTTCTTTGTATCATCTCCAAATTTTTTCATCAACATCTTATAATTTTCAGAGTAAGTCTTTTACCTCCTTGGTTTAATTTGTTCACAGGTATTTTATTATTTTTGATATAATTGTAAATGGGATTGTTTCCTTGATTTCTCCTTCTAATAGCTTGTTATTAGAGTACAGAAATGCAACCAATTTCTGTATGTTAATTCTGTATCCTGCAACTCTACTAAACTCATTCATAAATTCTATGTTTCTTTTTGTGGAGTCTTCAGGGTTTTCCATATAGGTATCATGTTATCTGAAAGTAGTGACAGTTTTTCTTTCTATTTCCAGTTTGGATGATTTTCATTGGTTTTTCTTGTCTAATTCTGTGTGTAGGATTTCAAATACTATATAGAATGTATGTGGTGAGAGTGGGTATCTTTGTCTTGTTCAGGACCTTAAAGGAAAATATTTCAGCTTTTCAAAATTGAGTATGATGTTAGCTGTGGGGTTTGTAATATATGGTTTTTATTATGTTAAGGTACCTTCTTTCTATATCCACCTTGTTGAGAGTTTTTATCATAAATGAATGCTGAATTTTATCAAGCGATTTTCTGAATTTTTGAGATGATTTTTATCCATCATATAATTTTCACCCTTTTTCTTATTAATGTGGTATATAATGATTGATTTGCAGATGTTGAATGGTCCTTGCATCTCTGGAATTATCCCACTTACTTATGGTGTATGATCCTTTTAATGTATTGTCGAATTCAGTTTGCTAATATTTTTGA